AATGTTGGGGGTGGGGAGAGGATGCCTAAAAGATGATTTGGGATGCAGGAGACTGGAGGTTTAGAGATAGTAGCACAATTCTTTTTGGACTATCACTGTGTCATGTTGGCCACTTGTGTAACTCAAAGAACTCTAGGTCACAAAAAGATGCTCCAGAGACAGGCTGCTTAGGTTATGGAGCAGTTCCATCTCTTCCTAGAGCAGTGGCTCTCAACCTTCCTAGTGCCATGACCCTTTAATACAGTTTCTCATGTTGTGGTGACCCTGAAATATAAAATTACTTCTGTTGCGATTTCATAACAGTAATTTTGCTGCTGTTATGAATCATAAGGTAAATATCTGATAAGCAGGATATATTTTCATTGTTTCCTCTCCAACCCCAACTCCGGACCCAGAGTACAGACTAACTATGAATTTAGTCTAGAATAAAAATGGCTTGAAGTTTGTTTTTGTTTTTTTTTTTTTGGCAGTTTCTGGCAGGGGCTGGGTTTGAACCCACCACCTCCAGCATATGGGGCCAGTGCCCGCCTCCTTTGAGCCACAGGTGCTGCCCGGCTTGAAGTATTAACTGCCTTAAGATAGAAAGATATTATATAACCTTAGAACCTGTAAAAAACCATTTGCAGGCGGCACCTGTGGCTCAAATGAGTAGAGGGCCGGCCACATATGCTGGAGGTAGAGGGTTCAAACCCAGCCCCGGCCAACTAACTAAATAAATAAAAAATAAAACCATATACTATGTAGTAAGATAATTAATTATAATAATGATGCTTACTTTTACTATAAAAATAACCAAAAAACAGGGCAGCAGAACAATTCCTTAAGGAGATATACCCATTGCTTTCCCAAATTACTTTCCTATACACTAAAACAATCTCCCATCCACTTCTCTGTTAATTAAAGTAGGAGATAGGCCTAAGGAACACAACAGTACCACATTCACCTAATCCTATCTGCCTCTGACGCAATTTGTAAGTAAAATGAGCGTTAATCCCCATGTGATTGGGTTTGGGATCCGATTTCCTGCTTGTAACAGACCTGCTGGCTATAAAAACCCAGTCAGTCGGCGCCCAGCCAGAGCTCCGCTCTGGGATCCAGCAGATCGGAGCCCGAGGGACGGATCGGAGCCTGACGGATCGATCTCGATCGGAGCCGCAGATGGAGCCTGACGGATCGGAGCCGCACATCTGAGTCGTAGATCGGAGGCAGGGCATGAAGGGGCGGCGGAGAGGAGAGGGTCTCTGCTCCTGAAGGTCGGGGTCATGGCCTTTATGCTGCTTGCACCGCGGCTGGCCCGCAACTGCCAGCACAACTTCCACCTTCTGGGGCCAGGATCCAGACACATCAGTCAAGCTGCAGCCAAAGTTGATATTGAGTTGGATTATGATGGGCCTCTGATGAAAACGGAAGTCCCAGGGCCTAGATCTCGGGAGTTAATGAAGCAGCTGAACACGATTCAGAACGCAGAGGCTGTGCATTTCTTCTGCAATTACCAAGAGAGCCGAGGCAACTACCTGGTTGATGTGGATGGCAACCGGATGCTGGACCTGTATTCTCAGATCGCCTCTGTGCCCATAGGTTACAGCCATCCTGCTCTCATGAAACTCCTCCAACAGCCTCAGAACGCGAGCACTTTCATCAACAGACCTGCCCTCGGAATCCTGCCTCCGGAGAACTTTGTGGAGAAGCTCCGGGAGTCCTTGCTCTCGGTGGCTCCCAAAGGGATGTCCCAGCTCATCACCATGGCCTGTGGCTCCTGCTCCAACGAAAACGCCTTCAAGACCATCTTCATGTGGTACCGGAGCAAGGAAAGAGGGCAAAGGGGCTTCTCCAGAGAAGAACTGGAGACCTGCCTGATTAACCAGGCCCCCGGGTGCCCTGACTACAGCATCCTCTCCTTCATGGGCGGATTCCATGGCAGGACCATGGGTTGCCTAGCGACCTCGCACTCCAAAGCCATTCACAAGATCGACATCCCTTCCTTCGACTGGCCCATCGCACCCTTCCCACGGCTGAAATATCCCCTGGAAGAGTTTGTGAAAGAAAACCAGCAGGAAGAAGCCCACTGCCTAGAAGAGGTGGAAGATCTAATCGTGAAGTACGGGAAGGAGAAGAAAACGGTGGCTGGGATCGTCGTGGAGCCCATCCAGGCAGAGGGAGGAGACAACCACGCATCGGATGACTTCTTCCGCAAGCTGCGAGACATGGCCAGGAAGCATGGCTGTGCCTTCTTGGTGGATGAGGTCCAGACTGGAGGGGGCTCTACTGGCAAGTTCTGGGCTCATGAGCACTGGGGCTTGGACGACCCAGCAGATGTGATGACCTTCAGCAAGAAGATGATGACCGGCGGCTTCTTCCACAAAGAAGAGTTAAGACCCAACACCCCAAACCGGATCTTCAACACCTGGCTGGGGGACCCATCCAAGAACCTACTGCTGGCCGAGGTCCTCAATGTTATCAAGAGGGAAGACCTGCTGAGTAACGTGGCACATGCCGGGAAGGTCCTGCTCACAGGGCTGCTGGACCTCCAGGCCCGGCACCCCCAGTTCATCAGCAGAGTGAGAGGCAGAGGCACCTTTTGCTCCTTCGATGCTCCAGACGAATCGATCCGTAATAAGCTCATCTTAATGGCCAGAAACAAAGGCGTGGTGTTGGGGGGCTGTGGCGACAAATCCATTCGTTTCCGACCTATGTTGGTCTTCAGGGATCACCATGCTCACCTGTTCCTCAATATTTTCAGTGACATCTTAGTCGATTTCAAGTAAAGAAGCCATTTCCGCTGCACTCTGAGAAAGCCCTGATCTCAACAGTTGTCAGATGGATTAGTTTGCCTAATGCATGTTTTCAATTAAAATGGAGTCAAAGGTGACTACATGAGCTGAAGGGTTATTTGTGAGAAGGGAGTGGGTTTTTTTGTTGTTTTGGGAAAGAAGAGGGGACAGGAGGGCTGGTTTTAATTTTCCTTCCTGCAGAGCTAATGGTGCACATTGGTTTATGCCCAGAAATTCTGCCTGAGCTCTGGACATAGTTCTTGGGAAGGCCCACAGGGGATTGTGGCCATATTTCTGCCCACCCTTGACCGACCCAATAATGTTTTTGAGAGCCAGGCAAGGGAGTTACATCTGCTCCTGGGACTGGGCTGGGACTTCCCACATTCTGGCCCATCTCAAGTGCCATATTCAGTAATCAGGATGCCCTATGCAAGTGAACACCCCCTCACCTACTCCCCCAGACTCCACAGCACTGAGCATACCTTCAGCACACTTCAGCAAGGGACTGGACAGATCCCAGGAAGGCAGTAAAGTGGGGACATGAGGACTGAGCTGAAGAGTAGGGGAAGGATTGCCTGTTCTCCTGAAGACTAGGACCGCTCCTCTCAGAGCACTTGGGGGTTCCTCAATCTGTGAATTCTGTCCTTGGTGGGGCTTACTCTTGGACGATCTCCAGGTGGTTATCACTGTTGCTTCTCACTGACATCCTCCATGCCCCAAACTCTATCCTCCTGGCAAATGTCAGCCTAGACCCGAGTTGGAGGAAACTTAAAGAGTCCACGGTGACCTGCTTCAGCTGAAGTTCCAGAGAACGTGGCTATTGCCCCAGGAGCACAAACCCAGGGGCCAGGGCATCAGAGCCACACACCCTGTCTCCCAGGGCACCTGGGGATCTGACTTGTGGACCCCGTGTCCTGGGAGACTCCTTTCGCTCTGGCTCATCCATGTTCCCTCCACCACCAACTGACATGTGAGCGGCTTGGCTGTTCCCAGAGGGACTCCCTGCTGGACTGGACTTCTTGTCTTGAGGAAAGCAGCATGAATTAAAGGTGCCAGAGCTCTGCGTGGGGCACGCTGGTGTAAGGCAGTTTCCCTGTACTTGCCCTCCTGAAATTAGAGCTTTTCCTGAGATGACTGAGTATGGAGAATACCCAGCAGATGGGAATTCAAATGCTTACATGGGGCTGGTGGCTGAGGCTACAGTATCTTTGCTGGAGGTGAGGTACTGGTGGAAATGATTTGACCTCAAATGTTCCTAAGAAGAGCACTTGATAATCTAAGAGCCATGAAGTATTATTTAGTGGATAGACTGAGAAAGTCTGGCTGTATTCTCTGTCCAAAGGGAAGCCACTTCATTCCCTGGGTGCCTTGGTTGGCTGCGTTAGAAGATGAGCATAATAAGGTTCCTAACTTAGCACTTTGGACTTTTAGTAATCAATCAGCCAAAGATCTCAGAGTGGGAGGGTTTTTTAGCTTTCACTTTTCAGCAGACTTGGTCATCCACCCATTTTTGTTGAAGAATGAAGGGAAATGGCATGTTTAACAGTCACAGGCAGATCCATGAATTCTGGTTCTGTTGCCGTTAGGGTCTCGCGGAAAAGCGATGTCGTGAAGAATAACCATGCTTATTGAAATTGTGTTTTAAATAAAGGTGACCATCTGCTCACTCAGGAAAAAGGGTAAGCTTTTTTGTTCACCGTTGGTTTATATAATCAATCTTGTGCATGGGCACTCTACAACAATGACCTCATTAGTATTCATTACAATCCTTCTGCACATGCGCATTGGACATCAATGACTTCATTAATCCATTTGAACATCTTGTGACTACCTGCCTTGTAAGTAGCTCCTTCCTAGTAATCTGATAATCCACCCAACATACACCTTTAAGCAATCCCTTTCAACATAACCCAGTTTAACATAATTTCAAGGAGAACATGCTGTTAGCCATTACTTTCTTTGTTCTTATCTGATGAAACCTGAGGCTATGGAGGAAAGACTGTTTGAAAGTGTATTGTACTGACCTTGCTATTTGGAGGCAGTTACTTCAATCTTTAAAATGAGGCATAATTAATAAACTTTGAGGGCATACAGAAATTTGTGTGCAAACCTCCGTTCCCATGTGGGCCTTAAGTCAGGAGAGTTTTATGCCTGCAACCGACCAGGCCAACCTTAGGTGGGGTTTTTAGGCCCACAACCAACCTCGCCATATGGGATTGTGCCTCCATTTCTCACAAGTATGTCTGCACAAAGTCTTTTCACTGCTTTCTCTCAAACAACTTTTTTGGCCAGAGGCATATAGGCGTTTCACCTATAGGTTCACTTTGCATTCCTTCAGTTAGTGCTAATCTGTTGGTTTTAAAAAGGAGTTTAAGAAAGCCAGGCCTGGTGGCTCACACTTGTAATCCTAGCACTCTGGAAGGCCAAGGCGGGTGGATTGCTTGAGCTCAGGAGTTCGAGACCAGTTTGAGCAAGAGTGAGACCCCCATCTCTAAA